TTAATTGACCCCAATCATGATATCAAAATCAAATTCCATAATTTTCACCCCCCGAGCCCCCATTTTGGCCGCCATCGCAAAATTGAACTTGACAACATCGAAATTCTTTTTTTACGCATCAAAATGAAGAGATTAAGATATTTTCCACACTTGCTTTACTTACCGTTCCACGGGAGTACATAAGAACCCGGACTAACCCCCGAATACCAAGTTTCATGCAAATCCAACGATAAGCAGCCTAAATATCCACTGACCGCGCTAGGCCGCCATTTTGAAAAGGACCGACTTTTCTGGAAAACCAATGCCAGAATCGTTTTTCTCGTCTCGAAAAACCCAAGGATATCGAGTTTAACGCCAATCTGTCAATAAACAACGGAGATGTCAGATTTCCGCCATTTTGAATTTTGACCTGCCGCCATTTTGTCAAAAATTAACATTTTTGCTTGCGGTTTGCGCCAAAACTGTTTTTATTTAATTATCTTTCGAATGAGGTATCACAACGGGAGGGGGGGTTGCCATTTGAAAAAAAAAGGGTAACGTTGCATGGTGGCAACGATCATGGTGTCAACAAACCAAAAATCTGATCATGGAGTCAACGATTGTTGACGTCGTGATCAGGCAGTAAAACACAAAAATGGGCCCTGAGCATGGTGTCAACGATCACGGTGTCAACAAACAGAAAAATATCTTCCTTGTGAGTAAAATTAAAAAATTAAGTGTACAGGAGAGGTCTGGGTCACGTATAGTTGGATTAGGTTAGTTTAGGTCAGGACATATACGGTTAGATTAAGTATGTAAGGTTAAAGTTATGTAGGGTAAGGTCGGGGAAAGTTAAGCTCTGTGAAAGTGGGATAGGTCTTTTAAGGTGAAGTTGGGTAAGGTTAGGTTAGGTAAGGTTAGGTTAGGTTAGGTTAGGTTAGGTTAGGTTAAGTTAGTTTAGAGTAAATAACACAAGAAAAACAAGACTTGAAATTTAAAAGGTGTTATTGAGGCAAGGTTTAAGTTTCGTTGACGTCGTGATCGTTGACACCGTGATCATTTTTCAGAAGGGTCAGAATTTTTTATTTTTGGATGATCATGGTGTCAACAAAAACTTAGAAAAACTGTTTGTTGACACCATGATCGTTGACACCATGCTACGCAATCAAAAAAAGTTAGCCCCCCAAAATTTTGGGGGGACCAAAAAGTTGCTACTTTAGACCGAGGAACATTGCCAAAGTTTCAAACTTCTATCTCAATTTGGAAAAAAGTTACACGGGTGGTAAGTGACTTTTGGATAACCCTGTTTAGGCATCGGGCCCGAGTCCCGCAGCTGCGCCCTGTTCCACGTTGTTCTCTGTAATTTTTTAACATTTTACAGCATTTTGACGATTTAGTAAGCATACATACATATAAGGATGAATATGCCATACGTAATTTTCCTTCCCCCTTTTTTTATTTCATCTAAACCAATCTGGAATTTGGAAACTTCGCACTGGCGATTGGCACAGTTGTGGATCCAGAGTGAGTTGGAGAGGGGGGGGGGGAGGCATTTGCTGATGTTGAGTGGGGAGTCTGGAGGATTACCCCTGGACTAAGGGGGGTCGTCTCCAGCGGAAAATGTTCAAAAAAAATAGCTCCTCCCATATTGAATATTAAGCAGTTTCAGCATAGAATCTGTGCATTATTTGAAAGTTGAAAACTGACGAATAGGTAATACCTGTTCTAGAGAAATAATGCAAAAAAGGGCGAAGGACATAAAATTATGGCATGATGGTGCGCTCTTACGGGTTTGGTTTAACTGGGATGTGGGTTGAATTGATTGAAAGGTCATCACAAAACATTTTTAAAATAAACATTAGTACATTTTCTCATCATGTCCAATTTCTCGAATGCTACCGACTTCGATGAAATAATGAGCCTATTTCCAGGGTAAAATTGATCAATTGAGTGTTAATATTTTCTATTTTGATTTAGCATCGTAACTCTTTACGCACCAGTACCATCATGCCATAATTTTACGTCCTTTGCTCTTTTTTTTTTGCTTTAGGCAAAAAACTACAGTAAAAACAAAGCGATGCTCATAAGGAGGGTCTTCATGTACTGGATTTTGAAGTAAAAAAAGAGGTGGGATTAGGAAATGTAGAGGATTGTTAAAAAGCCTGACATCCAGATGATAAAAAAAATTTTGAGGTTTGAAACTAAAAGACTGGTAGGATGAAGCTGGTTCAACAATATTGCAAAGGGAACACATTCCATAACAAATCATTGCACCTTGTGTTCAAGGCTCAGGCAACCAAAGTTACTTTCGAGATAAGCTGGTAGCATCGAGCAAATTGGAAGGGGTTGTAATGGGCCTGTTGCAAACTTTTGCTAGAGCAAAAATAAGAGTAATTTCTTATAGATTAAGTCTCAAAAATCACAATGAGCGTATTGGCAAAGTCTGAAGTGCACTCATAACTTCACAATCTGCGTAAGAAATTTGCAGTTTTGTGAGCTTTCTGCTTCAAAAACGATACTACGACACAGGTGAACATTTTGTTAGAGGAGTCGCTCCATCTTCATCATGGCCGACGCTTCCGCAGTTCCGCGCGTAATTCGAGGAGATCAAGGTCAAATAAGGCGGGCGAGAAAAATATGAATGTAAACACGCCGATTTTTATCTGGTCTTATCCTGGTCAGGTGTTATCTTGTCCCGTTACACGTGTTTTGGCGGATTGGCGTCGGCCATGATGAATATTGCCGACGACGGAACGACTCTACCGACAAAATATTCACCTGTGCCGTAGTATCGTTTTGGAAGCAGGGAGCTCAAAAAACCGCAAATTTCTTAAGCCGATTGTGAAGTTATGAGTGTATTTCAGACTTTGATGATGCGCTCATCGTGATTTTTGAGACATTATTTATAGGAAACAACTCTCATTTTTGCTCTAGCAAAAGTTTGCAACAGGCCCATTGGATTCAAGTTTCCATAATTTAGCTGGTGTTTTGAGGCATAAAGGATGAGAAAAGGAACCGCACGACATTTCGGCTGGCGACCTAAGCCATTATCAACTGCTTAAACAAATACAAAGTTAAAAACAAGGCTAATAAAAACCACTACATTTAAAAACCTGTGTGATCAACCCTGACAAAAATTAGGACTGATCTGTCCTGATTTGGATCAGTATTAAATTTATTTTTTAAAACAAGATGTCATAATGAGTTCACTGAAATCTGAACCTGCATTCCCCATGAACTGATTTGAAAATACAGTGTGACATCATATAGCAGATTTTTTTTTTTTTTTTTTGTGAACAGATTAATAAGCCTCCTATTTAGCCCCCTATTTGTACCTACATTATGCAACTTGCATGAATTTCTTTTTCAAGTCATCGCCCAGATTGCTGTAATTTAAACCAAGGAAGAATACAAGCAAGATATGAGAGGTGAAGAAGGGTGGTTTATTGGGTGCTCATTATAGTTCTACCTCTGGTAATTCAAGCTTACCCCCAGCTCAAGATCTTACATTCTGCTTTGCTTTCGTAAACTCAAACGCTTTGCTTTGTCTCCTCACACTGTAATTTGGTTGAGTTGTCTCTTGATGCCACCCACCTTGACTTTTAAAAGCTTACTGTGAGCAGGTTAAATTTATGAAGCAACCTACAGCTTTCCTGAGATCATCATCCCTCCTGGGTACGAGAGCTATCAGTCCATTTTTTGGTCAATTTGTACAAAAAATTAGACTATTCATGCTTACCACTGAACTGAAATTTGAGGAACATTTTGTTGCCATGAGATTGAAAGTTTCGGCACTTGAGTTACCCTTGAAAACTAACTGGAATTGCAACTCTGGGGAATAAAGTATCAGGTTACAATTAATGAAAGACTAACTTGTACGACAAAAAACAGGCTCCAGAAAAATTGGGACAAAATAAACTCAAAACTGGGTTTTTGTAAGATTAATCAAAAAAGGGTGGTTGCCACATCCAGGCAAGTCACCAAGAACAAGCCAAGTAGAAGCAATAACAACCACAGCTACATTGATTTTGCTTGGTTTTCAATTGTGGTTCCAAAAGCCAAAGGCACAGAGCCACAGAATTTGGGAATGGTGGTGTTTTTGAGCTTGTTTCTGTCTCATTTGATGAATGAAAGTCTTTTGATCAACAGATCACAGTTTAGAAAGTGAGAAGATAACTTCCTTTTTTGAATGTGAAGATCAGATAACTTTGAATAATGGACTCCTAGACAAGATACAATCTGAAGCATTCATACATATATTTCTGCTTTGAAATTTCATGTGAAACACGATTTGCACAACTATAATGGCTAAAATTAACGGGCACCTAAGGTAAATATTTAGCATATTACATATTAAGATTTTATTCAGCATTGTTTATGAAAAATTTGAATTTTCTTCTCACATGAAAAACCAGAAGCTATTTGAATCAAATGACGCTTTTCAACAGTTTTAGCATACTCCTCAACAAATAGTGTTCCTTCCCCACCCTATGCTGTTCAAAAAGTAAACAACATGCAATCATGGCTGAGCGAAAGTGCCGATATTTAGGTTGCCATATTTCCATACCGCAAGGACTGTCATAGTAACGGTTAGTATGCTCCTTGACTCTCATGGATTATGGTTTTTTGTGAGCAGGAAGTTTGAATTGACGCATCAAAAACGTTAATATCAATGTTAGGAGTTACTTTCTTAGATTTTTATGGTAATAATCATGTGGTACGTTGATGAGAAAACGTTTAAATTGATGATGAGAAACGCTTAAGTTTGCACCTTGTCTAGTGGTTCAGCTCGTTTATTCCAATTGCAGTTTTTTGCCCCAGAATAATTGGATATTAAAAATTTATCAGCTATCGAGCAATGTCATTATACACATGAAACTGAAAATCTGAGACGGAATCTGAGCTTAGACCTGTTAGTCCAAGAGCTCGCCCAAAAAATTTCAACCGGAAAGATCTAAAAATGCCATCATTTCCTTTCCATGTCTTTTTTGTTGGCGTTTGAAGATCTGTCGGTCTAGCAGGTCATATCTGTGACGTTTAATGGCCATATAACCTCAAATTTCAAAAAAATTTGCCGAAATTTAACTGGAGAGATCTATACATGAAATTTTACCATCATGTAGAATTTTATGCCCATAATGCAGATGAATCGGTCTGGCAGTCGAAATTGATGACTGAATGGTCGCCAGACCAATTTAAAAATTGAAAATTTTCCGAAATTTAAACCGGAATGATGTATGAATGGGACCAGTCTCATTTAATCGGAAAAATCATCACAAATCGAAATTCCTGGGCCTGGCTGTCAATTTCGATGACTAAACGGTTGCCATACCGTCTTAAAGTGCTTTCATTTTGCATTGTACCTAATTGATAATAATTGATGGCTTTGACGCATTCCAAGTCCCAAATTCATCACTCTCCCTTTGTCTGTCATCCTTAGGCTCAACAAACAATATCTTAACATTTATGATCGACGATTATGCCCCTGGTAATTTTGGAGTACAAGGAGTATGATTGCATCGCAACGTTGGAATGTTTCTCTTCAAAATAGCCAAAATTTAGAAGGAATGATGAATCAAGAAAAAATGATCGACTAAGACCGACTTAATATGGTGATGATTTTTCTGATAAAATGAGACTGGTCCCATTCAAAGATCCTTTTGGTTAAAATTTCGGGAAATTTTCAAATTTTAAATTGGTTATTCGGTCATCGACTTGGACTGCTTGACCAAATCATTTTTACTTCAGGGATTAAATTCTGATAAATGGCGGAAACCATACTCATGCAGCCCTCATAAAACTCACACATCCATTAGTACCCCAATATCAATTGAAATGCAATTTTTCTACTTTAGGACGGTCTGGCAAGCCTTTGGTCACCGATATCGACTGCCAGACCACGCAATATCGATTCATGACAATGTTTCCAATAGAATGAGACTGGTTTCATCTGTAGATCTTCCCGGTTAAAATTTTGGAAATTTTGTCGAATTTTAAATTGGTCTGGCGACCATGCAGTCACCAATTCCGACTGCCAAACAGATTCATCTGCGTTATAGGCATAAAATTCTACATGATGATAAAATTTCATGTATAGATCTCTCCGTTTAAATTTTGGCAAATTTTTTTGAATTTTGAGGACACATGGCTGTTGAACGTCACAGATATGACCTACACCAACAGATCTTCAAACATCAACAAAAAAGACATCGAAAAAAAATGGTGGCATTTTTAGATCTTTCCAGTGGTAATTTTTTGGGCGAGCTTTCCGTCTATGTAGCTTTTATTGTTTCAGAATTGGTGCAGGGTAAGTCATTGAAGTTGTTGGTGCATAAGGAAAATAAGTAAAAGAAATTGTGCAATTTTCAAAAGAAATTTCTAAGTTGAAAAGTTGCGTGGGTCAATTGAGTCTTTCGACTTGTAAAACGCTCAAACTGATGTTGCTGTACTGAAAACAAACTTTTAGAGGCTAATTAATTTGCAATGTCTATTTCAAAACAAGTTTTTTTTTTCGTTTGTTGAAATCACCAGTGACTCAACTTGTCGAAGAATCTTAGGTGCCTTCTTTAGACACAGGAGGCTTCAATTACTTGATTCTATTCCACACAATATGGAACCAAACGATACTAGAATTTGATATACTGTTGGAGGGAGAGACTTATACCTTTATTTTGCTGTCGAAGCAACTCAATTTCATCATGGAGACTTGTCAGCATAATTAAGTGTTGCGCCTGCAAGGACTTTATATTCAGCTCTAGTTGTTTGATTCGTTGGTAAGGATCTAAAACAGGCCAGTCTTCAGGAGTGCATTTTCCTTTTGAGTTTCCCTGGTTTGGAGATGTGGTTCCAGTTGATGTGTGTTTCACAGTCTGAAAAATGATTCAACCAAAAGCGTAAACAATAAGATGAATTATAATATCTTATTTTATCTTGTGTGGCTGCAGAGAAAAAAATGAGTCAAAGTGTACCTAGATTAAATCAGCAAATACGAAAACTAATTTTTTTTTATTTTTCTTTTCTTCAGGAGTAGTCGACGTCTCTTCATTTGATATTTGGTCTCAATACTTTCTCTCAATTAATCAGAAACTCAATGTTCTGGTTCTAATAATACTAGTAGGTTTCTTTTCATAACTTAACCACATGGTTCTCATCAATTTATTCTTAAAACCTCATTTCATTCATCACTTAATTGCAGAAAGAAATGTGTAATATGTACAGAGTATAATCAATAATCATGATAGATCACAATGCTCTATCCCAAAAATAGCTCATTTAGAATTTACTCCATGGCATCCCACTTGCATTTAACAGAGGAATCCAAATTTTATCAATTGCTCAGGATGGCGAGTCTACCAAAAAATTCAGAAGGAAAAACAGAGTTTAAAGTAGAAAGAGCGACCCTAAAAACGACCGTTTTTCGGCACACTTTGGGACTGCAGGGATCTTTCTGAAAGAGGGCTCAAACAATACCTCATGATGCCCTAAAACTCTGGTAAAAATTTAGCTTCCGTATACGCACGGTTTATGAAAGGGGAGNGGGGGGGGGGGGGGGGGGGGGGGGCAAAGTTGCCAAATCACCATCATTCTTGACAGCATCTTGATAACAAAATGACAGGAAAAATGGATAAAAAAGTTACACCTTTGATGCATTTTGGCAGTAAATGTTTTCATTGGGCCCCTGTGCATAAAACTGTGTTCATTTTCAAAAATTTCGGCCACACAGTGGTCCAAAATGGGAAGAAATTTTGAACAAATCGGGAATCTTTGTCAAACTCTTTAAAAATGGAAGTAAAATTGTGGGTCTCCTGCAGAATTCATGGCTAACAAGGTTCTTACCAGTCCTCAATGCTTTAAATTGTGTTCAGCAATACAAGTTTTCATAGCGCAAAGGTCCAAAATGGGGGAAATAGTGCCTAAATTAAGATTCTTTGTCAAACTATTTAAAAATGGTGTATAACTGTTGGTCCCCTGCAGAGTTCAGATCCTGGATAAATTCATGTATTTAATTATTAATAATTATTGTTGCATTTCAGACCATATTGTTCACAGAACTTTGATGTAGATTATATTTTGTAGCATTACTTATTTCAATCTAATATGCAGACTTTCAGAAATTGAAAAAAAAGGAAAAATGGAGGGAAAAAATTAAAAAAGATTTATACCTTAGGCCAAAGAAACCAGAAAACAAAAAAATAATTTAGAAAAAGAAAACAAAAGATATTGAAAAAACAAAAAACAATGAGAAAAATTAAAAAAAAACAGAAAACAAAACAAAAAATTAGAACAAAATAAAAAAAAAACAGAAGAGAAAAGTAACAAAATAAATAATGAAAATAAAATAAAATGAACAAAAAACTTCTTCAAAGATTAGCACGTGGTGAAGAAGCTTACCCTAGAGTACCGGTATAGGGAGAGTACCTACCGACAGATCTGAAACTCCGAAAGTCCATCAGGCCTTCACCGATGCCTCCGCGAATAAAGTTAGAGCCCAAAAGGGCAGCCAACCTATGAATTTCAATTATCCAGAGCGATTTACTGATACTATTGTTACGAACCGACCTTTGTTAAGCACGTGTTTGACTCAGTTTTTGCATAAATTTACTCAATTTCGCGGAAGAACGCTCATTTCTGTACATTCTTGGCCATCTTGGTTAGAATTGGAATCTGCAGACTGGCAGTGAAATTTTGTGCGTTAGAAGTTGGTTAGAAAGGTGGCTGTACTTTTGGGCCCTAAGCCCTCCATGAACCAATCCGTCAGTACTCTCCCTATAAAGGTACTCTAGCTTATCCATTATTTTTAATGCAATGCAATAACAAATAATGCTACAAAATCTAATCTATAACAAAGTACTGTGAACAATATGGTCAGACATACTGACAACAATAATTTAAAAAAAATTAAATACATGAATCCATCCAGGATCTGAACTTGCAGGGGTCCGATAGTTTTACTTCATTTATAAATAATTTGACACAAGATCTTAATTTATCCAATATTTCCCACATTTTGGACCACTGTGCTAAGAAAACTTGTAATGCTGAATATAATATAATGCATTGAGGACCGGTAAGAACATTGTTAGCCATGAACTCTGCAGGAGACCAACAATTTTCATGTAGAATTTATTTATTTCTCCTGAAATCTTAGAGCAAGCAACGCTTGCCTTGCTTGTTTGGATTACGTGCCACTGGCGATGAATGCATCACCTGCACTTGGGTACTACCATAGTGATGAGAATCACAATTGATTTCTAAATTTTTGGTAAACTCACTGCTCTCAAATTATCTTGGAAGACGACAATTTAATAATTGAAAATGCTGACTCAAATTACTCATTTTGCTTCCTTGGAAAGTTTTCCAGGAAATCCTCTGATGCAGTGCGATACAAATCTTTCTGCTTTCAGTTTGGAGTTCCCTGGTCTTCAGGGTACTCCAATTCACTGATATTTATTTAAGTATCAATGCTTACGTACCATACCACATTCTGAGTTAGTGCTTTTGTTCGACAAAATTACACTCATAGATGCAACATGTGCGTTACGACTCCATCGTGGATAATGAGCAACCAATGGAGGCAACTGTTCATGATGAGGGGAAAGAGGTAGTGGTAAAGTAGGAATTTTTGTACTCATTGGTCGAACAAAATGTCCCTTTCTTGAATATCATTCGTTTTATATTTCTGACACCTGTGGGATATGAAAACAGCAAAATTAAAAATAATTTCAGGTAATACCAAGATGTTTAAGTACAGCAAAATTCAGATCGGAAAAAAAGTACTGCTGCACAAGAAAACAGAATTTCGGTAGCATTGAAATTTACTGCTTTTAAGGCCTTGTCTCCACGGGCCTTTTCACGAGATTTGTCCCAGGGAAAAATCCCACTTATGAGGTTGGGCAAAATATTGAGTTAATCAATATTTTTCCCAGTACCAAGTACGGTCCTCTTACTCCTAGGACCCGCTGAGAGAGGAAGAAGAAGTGTAAACGAATTGTGCGATATTTTGTTGATTACTCCATTGTTCATGTTTGTTTAGTTATAATAATGTGTCTAATTGTCAATTGAGCGCAATTATTATTGTAATCCCGGTTAAATACTTGACTTTATCTAATTTATCTTCCCGCGCAAACTAATCGCAGGACCGTATGAGCCTCGTCCTGTGGAGACGGTAACTGGGAAAAATCCTAGAAGTTTCATTCCTGCGATTCGAACTTGGGACAAATCCCATGAAAACGTCCCGTGGAGACAAGGCCTAAACCAAGATAAATGCATGAATAAATTGAGGTGAAAATCTTCCCACACTGAATGATCATTCTCATACATACCTTGTTCAAATGTTACGTAGCGTCTCCAGCTTCATGGGTTGCTGGGGAGGGCCAACCCTAATGTGATGACGAATTAATAAAGTTTCTTAAACCTTTAAATGATTTCACAATAACAGGGAATTTTGAAAAGCGCACACTTCACAAATGAAAGTGCACCAATTAGGTTTAAACTAATTTATTTCATCCTTAGGTATTAATTCATGACTGAATTTGGAAAGTTATAATCCATGGTATTCTATTTGAAATGTTGATTGGTAAACAAACTTTGCGATTCCTGATTTCAAACCCTGATTGGTAGTCCAGTCTGAGGTGATTAATAAGCATGTCCCCGGTTGTTGGAATGATTGAACTTCTGTGCAATATACAGGGTGTTCCAAAAGTCCCGCCAGCCCCCCTTCCCCCCACTTTTGAATCATCCGAAATAGAGAGACAAACCTTACCTTAGGGCATGCTTCTACCTCACAGGGGACCATCTTCAGGGGGAGGTGGTCAAAATTGTTGCTCCTCCCTCAGGGGAGAAGGGGTGGGGGCCTTTCAACTTTTTTTTCAAACGGCAACTCTTATCTTGTGATACCTCATTGGAAGGGGAAAGATAAACTAAGAAGTTTGACGCAGTCTGTAGATCAACATCTTCATATTTGACCAGGTTATGATAGGTCAAAGGTCAAATTTGACCTATTTCCAAGAGATCATAACTCCGGTTCAAATTATGGTAGGAAAAAAAAATAAAATGTGAAAATTTACCAAATTGTAAGCACTTTATAGTAAAAATAACAGGAATCATTTAAAACTAATTTTAAGGGGGGTATCGGACCACAAATACGTCAGTTCAAAAAGTCATATGATTTTCTCTCGAAATGAACTGCTTATCCCTAACTTCGCTCCAACACTATTTTGATAAGTTCGACATTACGTTCTCAAGTCCCTGAATTTCAGGCAAAGTTAAAAAAACGAAATTTAAACAGTCAAATTTAATCACTTCAAATTTCGTTTTACCTCTTATGAGGCAGTAGTGAAGGCCATCTAGGGATCGAAGAATGGGAAGGACAGGATCAGGAAGCGCCTGGACCAAGAGGAACATCAGCAGAGTAATTAAAGTGCGGAGCAAGCAGGTTGTTTTCGTATATTAGGGACCTGATGGAGAAGTGCATTAGGGGGTGAGGTTCCGAAGGAATGGAAAGAGTCATGGATTACAGCTAAGTACTCATATAAAGATCCGGAATGGAGTTTGCAAAAACTATAGAGGTTTATCGGTGACAGCAACATAGAATGAGATTTACAGGAAAATTGTGAAAGCAAAGATACGGGAAGGATGGAAGCCCGATGCTGAGGGGCAGAAAAGAAAAGATTTTGCAAACACTGTAACCTCACTGGTTCTTTACTCCGATCTAACTACAATCTCAATTCAAGAATTCATAACTCTTATATGGGAACGGTTTCTGTAAATAAGAAGAAAGCACAACAGATGAAAAAAAAGTTATTAGCTGGCCGCAAATGAAAAACTGGGCATGTTGATCATCCAAAAATAAACACACCTGTATATCATAGTAGCATATCGATTTTTCACATTCAGATTGGCAGTGTAACCACAAGGTACTGAGATATACTTATTACTCCTCTTCGATTTCTTATCATCTTATCAACACATGTTAGTCTGTTTGAATTCTTTTTATTTCTTCCTTTTCTGGATGACGGTGATGCTGGTACTCACTACCAGCAGGTACTCCTCAGGACCTTGACTTACTAGTCTTCAAAATGTACATTAAAAAATAGAAGGTTGTACCTGGGCTGAAGTTCATCTGATCCTCAATTGGGTGACAGGCTCATGAAGGTGAGTGGCACGTTTTGATGAGGAAAAAAAAAATTCTCGCTATGTTTATGATGAGCAGTTGAGCACACATTAGGTATTCTTGGAATTCTCCCGGGTACCCTAGTCCCTACGTCCTGACCAGACGAACCTGACATGCTAAGAATCAACACTTTCCCGTTGCTACACAGCATGATCAGGCGAGACGATAGGCCTTGTCTCCACGGCGCAACTGTTGAAGGAAGTTAGCGCAACTGTTGCGTGTTTGTTCCGCGTTTGTTGCACCAACCGAGGTTCCCTGTCTCGACCAGAGACAAGAGACCCTCCACTGGCCTCCTAGCGACAGGTGGAAGCTTTTACTTTCGGGGTTTCAACAATTCCTTATGGACAATTATTAGGGAGCAACAGTCATCACCCTATTTTCGGCTGTTGACTTACCTACATGGTCGATGATGAGCTTCGGGTGACGTCATGAGCCAAACAAGTTTCCTAAACTTCGGCCATTTTCGGCTTGTTTGCAAAACGAAACTGCCAACACGTTGTTAAACATCAACCATGTAGGTAAGTCAACAGTAGAATGCTGAAGTCCCGAAAGTAAAAGCTTCCA